TTTGGCTGCACATGCTTTGTAGTAATGATTGAGATGGGACGTACCAATCCCTTTCTGCCATTCCAATCATTGTTGATAGTACTTACAAACTGCTTTAAACTTGGAACTCCATCGACCACACGACCCGTTGGAATCAATTTAAAGTGATCCCAACATTTTGTCTATTTTTTTCCCTTTTCTCTTTCCTCTTGCATCGAAAATATCTAATACATGTCCCTCTTCATGTTCCGCTTCAAATCAAGTGGATTGCTTTTTCTATGAGCATCCAAATTTGGGATATTTTTGGGAATGAGTACTTCGTTCATACCAAAAAAATTCATTCTGAAATTGACTTTGTAGCGTTATAGATGATTCGCCTCCAATACCGAACAAGCCCATCAATAAATGAGCATGGATCAATTTTTGAATTGTGATGTAATGAATAATAAATAACTAAGTAAATAAAAAACATGGAAATAAATAAAAAATTGAAAGAAAGTTTATGTCTAAGATTGTAATTGAATAATTGTAAATTTGTAGTGTGATAATTGATATTGAATAATTGAAGTTGAAAGTAAAAATGAAAATGTAGTAGATTGTAGAATGTAGAACAGATTGAGTTGTTGGAATGTTGTGTGAATTTTTTTGGAAATAGGTTAGGGTATATATAGAGTAAAAAAAAGAAGGAAAAAAATAAAATAAAGTGGAAAAACCGGCCACTTTGAAAGTTCAGTGACCATTTCGGTCACTGTTCACCACGAGCTCGTGGGAGAACCACGAACCGGCTCGTAAGCGAGCTCCCGTTCTGCTCGCCGCTCGACTCGGGCTCCTCAAAGCCATCCACGAGCCTCGTTTTCACAAGCCAAACGGGCGAGCCGAAAAGTATGAGTTGTCAAAAAACTGTTTGTTGCAAAAATAAGTTGTTTTCACACTGTCCAATGACATTTGCCACGTGGCATGTTGTAAACAAGATTGACATTTATGATTGTACACCAAACGTGATTTTCGAACCAATACCGACATAAATTTTGAGATCGGACTTATGGGACTATTGTTACTAGCTCATCCCACGTGGAGGTTAGTGGGTCAAGTAGGATAAAGATGTTGCATATCGCATACTGACCACATCGTTACATGTGACCAAAAAAATTCTGCAAACAATAATATGCCTCGCTCGAGTTGATTTGGTGGGAGAAAAGATATCTACCCTTGATACCAACGAGGAAAGGTTAACCAAGGCGGTTCACATCTCAACTAACCCTCTGGCTAGCTGAAGGAGGGTGAACCTTAAGGTAAGGTAGATGACAAACCTAACTGCCTTGGAAAAATCCTTCAAACCTCTTATCAGCTTGACTAAAAGGTAACGAAGCTCAAAACATGCGATCCCACATTTCCTGTTTCATACGAGGAAACAAGTAATATTCCCACTGCCATGCGTGTGGGAATCTTTAAAGAAGGTGAAATAGAATCAAGCCGCCAATGATCAATAACACATCCTATGAATTCAAAAGATCCTAAATACCCTTGATCCAAACTTTTCTATAAACGGTTTTGCTAGTGGTACATCACCATATACATAAGGGTGTACACCTTCCTCACATGGGGGTGGGACCCTCTTGAATAAAAAAATATTTTATACAAGTGGGTCTCACCCCTATGTGAGGGAGGTGTACACCCTTATGTACATTTTTTAATGTACAAGTAGAATTATTCTTCTATAAATATTACAGGCAATGTGAAGGAAAGAATAAAAATCAATCCTCTAGCCAAATCCCCGTTTCACCTATTTCTCTCACACTTAGTTATATCCTATTTTCCAGCAATTTAATCGTTAGAGTGCAAATAATGCTGAAAACTTTTATAGGCCAGTCACCTTTGCCTTCTAACGATGTCATAATGTGTAGGTAATGCATAGATGATGATGAGGTGACCTTAATCTGTTCGCACCAGTCGATCCGATCAAACTCTGAAGTCAACAAGGGGCATCAATCTATCATTTTGTCTTTCTTTTTTAAAGTGTAATATATTCTTACATTGCAAGTTATTATATATATGCATATAAAACCAAAGTCGAATCACTTCAAAAGTTACCAATAAAATATCAAGAGAAAAAGTCAATAATCCCGTGTTTATAACTTCATTTGCTGCTCATTGGATCAATAAATTGAAGAAGGAAAAGATTTATTTTTGGATTCCAATAGAAAATCAAAATGAAATGTTTCTCTAGACTTAGATTGGAAGAGAGATAGAAAATAATCTCCACATCTTTGTATTCAATCCTCTTAAAGAATCACATTTCCAATTCAAAAAATGTTTTCCGGGGCCAAGGACCCCAGAAAATATATTGTTATTGTTAATTGTCCCATTTTAATGAACACAAATCTTCGCCTTGTTTGCGATCGCCTCAAAAGAAATGTCGTTGATGGCAAAGGAGAGAGAGAGAGAGAGAGAGAGAGAGAAGAAGTACCCCTGTTTGAGCCACATTATATTTTTCATTCTTATTCTTATACTCATTTTTAACCATGCATGCTTCAATAAAATAATATTTTCCTTCTTTTTCAATCACATATTCACCCATCACATCAACCAAAAAAAAGTATTATCTCCACAAAAATGCCTACCAAACAGAGTGGTAATAATTAAAGAAATCGAGTGATGGGAAGCTTTACGTTAAGAATCCACTTTAATGACATTAAACAAAAACAGAAAAATGATTATAAGCACTTATTAAACATTGCTTGTGTCACTTATCTAATCAAGACACTTTAAATAATTTTATTGAGGCTAAATATATTTACACCACAATTTTTAGTTACTGTACTACATTTTAATTGTATGAAATGTTCATAATCTTTACACATTATCATATTTATGTCTTAAACTTTTTTCATCGCGTTCTTATTGTCAAATTAATATAAATTGTTCCTGATTGTGATTTATCTCTAAAATTTTCTTTAAAATATAGTGAAAATACTCATTTGTCATTGTATTTTTAAATAAGCAAAATCAATAATAATGTAAAAATACGATTAATATTTGACCCTCATTTTAAATCACGTTAATACTATTTTTGAATGAAAACCATAATTAGGGTTTTTCATTAATCAAATATTAAAAATAAGAATGTGATGAAAAAAAATAAGGATATAAGTGTGATAATGAATAAATGTTAATGACATTTATTATAATTAAAATGTAGTGTATCTATAAGAAATATAACCACCCTTTCATTAATCTATCAAATAAATTGTGAATGCTATGAAATGTATATTATAATTTGGATTTTATATTAAAAGGTTAATTTTATTAGGATTAACTTAAGTCCTTAATTGTTGTTTAGTAATTGTACACTTAACTAATGTAGGATTTTACATTTAACATTGTAAAATGGTGGCTGGTCAAGATGGCTGGATTGACCACACTAATTTTAAAGTCCAAATACTCATTCAAGTTTTAGAGCTTGTTTGGGAGAGATTTTTGGAGGAAGAATTGATTTTGAATAGTGATATGATGGGAAGTGTGTGGTTGAAAAAGAAGAAAAAATTATTGATGTGATGGAAAATATTATTTTATTGAAGAATGTGTGGTTGAAAATGAGAATTGATTTACTGTAGAAAAATTTAATTCCTCCCAAACAGGCCTTAAACTTTNATAGTGATATGATGGGAAGTGTGTGGTTGAAAAAGAAAAAAAAATTATTGATGTGATGGAAAATATTATTTTATTGAAGAATGTGTGGTTGAAAATGAGAATTGATTTACTGTAGAAAAAATTAATCACTCCCAAACAGGGCCTTAAACTAAATGAATTGTTCGTTTGAGTTTTAAAAACTCTGATATCATATTAAAATTTGAATTTTATATTAAAATATTTGAAAGGGACCCAAGTCGATCAAGAAATCGAACATAACGGATTGAAGGAAATTTTCAGGAGAAGACCAAAATAGTGAAAGAAAATAAAAAACTAACCTTGTTTTAGAACTAGCTTCTATAAAGGAGATCTTCTTTCAATAAACAACATATACAAATCCCTCTATTGATCTTTTGTAATGATATGGGGTATTACAATAGGTCAATATTTTGAAATAATGTCAACTAGCATGAGTGGAACATCGGCTTAGGTAGGAGAATATGATAATGAAGTAAGTTCCATATCATTGCAATTAATTATGTTTAATTTAATTGGACAGTACACTTCCGTCTCTTAGATTGATAAATGACATTATAACGTTATTGGTACCAAATTACGTTACCTAACGCTTAGATTGCTTTTATTTTTCTTAAAATGGTAGTATCAGTGACTACTAAAAAATGAAAATCATAATCATTAAAATCAACATGATCACGAGCATTTTCTATTATTTTTTATGGAAAAAAATGAAAGTTTAGTAATTAATTTGGAAACTAAATAACACTATAAACTTAAAGTGGTGAAGTGATGGAGATCAAATTTGATAACCATAATGAGTTATTGGAATTTTGTGATCTCGTCGTATTTTTTGTAGATTGCGTTTATTAATTTCATTAATTTAAAAGATAGACGGTGGACAGAGTGCTTAAATACTAAAATTGAAATTATAATAAAAGTTGAGTAACTAATTTGATATTAAAAATAAAAAATAAAAAGATTTGGATGACCGAAGCGAAGAATTTTTAACTTGTCCATTTGAAATTACCAAAATTATGAGGTTAACCAGTCCATTTTAACCTGTCCACATTATATACGCTCACTACCCTCTCCCTCTTGCAGAAGCTTAACGAGCAACATCCAAACCACGGCGGCGCCACCCCAGCTGAACAGAGAGGAAATGAAAGGAGCATCAGGTGAAGGAGGACTGACCCTCGAAGAGCTCAAGGAAAAAATGGCATTTTTTGCAAAGGAAAGAGACTGGGATCAGCTCCGTAGTCCTAGAAATCTGCTTCTGGCTCTGGTTTGTACCATTTTGTTTTCATGTGTAGACATAAACTTTATCTGTCTAAATGGTTTTTTTGAGAGTTTCTCTTGATGTTATTGAGGTTGTCTCTTCTTTCGCTTCCATAATTGTACTTTTGGTTGTCGTCTTGTATAAAGTGGAATGATTGGTTGAAATTCACTCAATTTCTTAACCAAAGCATGGCTCCAAAAGGTTCAAACTTGCAATATATGTAAACACACAGCCATTGCTGTGTTATTCTCTCTTATGAACATGCACATAGAATCTGTGGACCAATTAATGATTCATCTTTGATCTCTTACCCATCAGCCATATTGGCTAAAAAGTGTGTTTTTAATCTTTCTTTTAACGCTAACTTTTTGTCCTTTATTCCTGCACATTAACATTTTTATATTGCCTAATAATTGGGGTTTTGATCTTGCATTTTTTTGTCAACTTTTTCTCCATTAATCCTGCACATTGTACACATACTTTGCCTAAAAAATTGGGTTTTCTATTCTACCATTTCTCACATTTCCCATTAATTATTATAGCACATAGTGGTCAGAATACCGTGTCTTTTTATGCTAATGCTTATTCCAATAAACCATTTTTCTGTCCGGTGGGCGAAGTGGGAGAATTGTCTGAGATATTTCAGTGGAAAGGTGAGGTCCGAAGAGGCCTGCCTGATTGGGACGAACAAGAGAAATTGCATTTAGGTGAAGAATTATCAGATGTTCTTCTTTACCTTGTTAGGTTATCAGACATTTGTGGCATTGATCTTGATAAAGCTGCCCTTAGAAAGATTGAACTCAATGCAATAAAATACCCCATTAGCCTTTGCAAAGGCTCTTCTCAGAAGCATAACCAAATCAAGACTAGTCCCGGAACCGTCCCCGACGATGCTGCCACCACCAGTAATGAAAATGGTGGTGTATGATCTTACTAGTAGCCTTCTTTTTGTTGTTGTTAGCAATACTTACGTTCTGTCTTAGGGGTCATTTTCTTTTTCAGCTTCTCATCTGTATTTATCCTTTTAGAACGGTTTGGCGTAGTTAAAAATTAGATTTTTAGCAGGTTTTGATAAAAATTGATAAAAAAACGTGATTAAAAAGTTGTGGATTCTATGAAATAAATAGTTAAAATTAATTCTTTACTTTCACTTAAATTTTTAGCTAATTCTTAATCTACTATAAACATGAGCTTAGTCACATAAATATCTGTAGCGGAATCATAATCACCTAAGGCACGGAAGGGAAGGGAACGGTACAACATAAAGTATGATGTTTGGTCTTGTATGAGTTGAGATTTACTGTCTATATATGCAGTTCAATTTGTTGTCCTCCCCAATTGCAAATTGACATATCATGGAAAATTAGGGTTGTCATCAATTTTAATTTTTCATGATGTGTTAATTTACAATTGAGTGAACAACAAATTATACAGTATAAACAACAGATCTCAACTCGATATTGTACAATGTAGGTAAATTATTTCATGATGTGTCCATCTGTAATTGAGTGGACAGTATATTAGACAACAAAAATGGACAACAGATCTCAACTCGATCTCGTACAATGTAGACAAATTATAATACATGGAAATGGGATTTATAATATATGAATATTGGGGTTGGTTTTACAAACAAGGGCTCGAAGATTCCAAATGAACACCTCTACAACTACCAATATGATGCTTAGGAGTGCACATTTTATCTAGAACTATCCGAACCAAACTAGAACTAAACTGAAGTACTGAACTAGCCGGTTCATACAGAAGATAATAAACACATTAACTAGGAAGACAGCCAAGAGATTAAAGAAAATTACCAAATTTTTTTGAGATTAGATGAGAATATTCTTAATAAATTTTTAAACTTGGTTACCATCAGAACTTTGAGTGCCATTTTGCATCAGCGTTGCAGTTGAAAGTATACGAAAGTTGGGACTTGGAAATCTGAAGCTGGGACTGAAGAACAGTTTAGAATGTAACATAGATTGGGCTTCTGACTTGGTCATAGTCCTCTCTTTGGGCCATATATTTCATTCCGTGGCCCCAAATTCAATACCTTCTCCAATAAAGTACTGGGCTTTAGGATCAATATGTAATGGGATACTTACAAAAATGTGGAAATTACACCCCACCGTATCTTTGGAAATATGAATTCTAAAATCAGGTGGAATACTTTTTCTTTCAAAAATCAAAAATTTTATTTTAATTGATATTTTTATAAAATAATTATATTTACCAGCCCTAACCCACAACCCACAACTGGTCTCTCTCTCTCTCTCCACCGCCTCATCCCTTCTCCTCCTTCTACATTCTCCTCACTGTCGCACCGTCGAACGCTGCTCTGTAAATCACAGTAGCTCGCGCTGCTGCCGGCTTCAAAGACGGGCGAATCGTCGGCCAGAAAAGAGTGATGCAGCGCCGACGAGATTTCTATCTGTTTTGGTGGTGGTTGACAGTGGCAGATCTGATGGTTGAGGCCGATGTGAAGTGGTTTTTGTGGTTTGAGTTTCTCTGTTGGCGGTGCGGTGCTCGTTGCGATGGTGGTTTTGATGTCGATGGTGGTGGCAACGTTACTGGTTGTGGTTGGTGCTTTAGTGGCGGGATGGGGCATGGGTGCTGTTGATGTTAATGTTGTGGTGATGGTTTTGGTTTTTGTTTCCG